CCCTGTCATGTGACATTCTGTCATAAAACTTCATACGATTGTAGTAATAATTTAAAAAACCGGATATTTTAGCGGTTTGTAGTCGAAATAATAATAATTTTCCCTTTTACTAGTTTCACTATTAAAAATATGCGAATAGAACAATTCATATATGAGTCTTTTAAACTGCCTTGTTATAGTACGTTTACATTGTAAAGTAGGTTAACCAGATGATAAGTTCTAATGTAAATACCGTTTTAGTTCATTTAATATCTCAGTTCCTTGATTCAATAATACAAGTTAGGATACTTATGGTGAATAACAAAAAAGAAACTCTGTAGTTAGTGGTTTCTTCTGGCAAATATAAAAAACATACGCATTTTCCTTCCTCAAATCCACTAGGGAATAGCATGAAAACTTTTGTTTCATCAATAAAAAAATTAATACTTCTCTCTACAAATCTTAACTATCATACCTGGAGCCCACAGTACATATTTTGTAATCAATAAGCGCTGCTTATGAACATTTTTTAAAGAATTCAGACTTACATAAAACAATTATCCATAGAAATAAATGCATGGCATTTTGCGACGTTACAATTTAATGACATTTAACAGTCTGGGAAGTATTATGTGAAATGGGCAAAATGTTCGATTAAAAATATTCAGTTAGCTTTACAATCACTTCTGTAGCGTTTTTTAATTGTTTGCTTGCCCCAAGAACAAGTTAGGAAAGTTTTGATTTTATTACATTTGTAATGAATAAAATGTAATGTTAAAAATGGCAGCCAGAATAAAAATTCAACAATTAAAAGCGACAATTCGTTCGGAAAACGTACAAAATCTCCCTAAGATATCGAAATTTAGGAGGAATGAATATTGGATGGACATTGATAATTCTTAGTAGGAAGCCAATTCGATTAAAAACTCGTTCCAGAACCTAAAAGAATCTACTAATTTTACAAGTTTTGCAACTTTTTTGCTCGAAAACGGTTCCTGAACCCACAAAACTGGCATTCTTTGTAAACTAAAATTGGTCCGATTAAAAATGGTAAACAGGAATACCAAGGTGTATTTAATAAGTTGTATACATCAGATACAACAACGAACGTTTTACAAAAACAACATTGTTGTTATAGAAATTAAATTGTAATGCTGACAATTAGTTTATGTTGTGAAGAAACAAAAACAAATAAATAATTGTAACAAAAATAGAACAATTAAAGAAAAATTATATCGAAAATAGAAAATAAATTCTCTTAAAAATTACCATCCTGGTCAGAAACGCCATTTTTTATATTGCTGCCGATTTCCTGATAACAATCATACATATTTTTCGAGAAAGTCCGTACTACCCGAAAATCAGCTTCCAAAGCTGCCCTTCCAAATATAAAATTGAGGTGATTGTCCGGATCTTGGGGATAACTTCACTTGGAACCTACCCATCTAAATATCAAATTGAATTCTTATACAATCGAAATTACTTCTACATATTGCTTTCTAAACCTGAAGAAATAGAAGTGGGTGGTAAACATTCGATTTTCGCGTACGCAACAAATCTTTTTTTTTTTTGCTGAAATTTTGCCTGTGGTAAGCCTTGAGCTAAATTCTTGTCAAAATAAAATTCCCACAAATTCCCAAATGCTATAGCCCATGAACAAAATATATATCCTGTTGTAAGTGTTTGAAATAATCCGCGACAGGGCTTTATATTTGGTTCTTTGGGAAGCTAAGAAATGATCCCTTCCCATTAATAAAATATTTGTTCCAAAAACTATTCATCTTCGCATTTGTTTATAAAGTTTTGAAAGTAAAAAAAAAAATATATATTACAAAAATGTGTTTAACAATTAGATGCACAAACAAAACTCTGAAACCATATGATTTCCACTTACACCTTATTTAATTCACCTTGAGGAATAACAACTTCTGATTGGCTGTTATGTTGATTTTAAAGTATTGTCATCTAATTTTGGCATATTTACTAGATTTGCGTTTCCGAACTTTTCAAATTATTTTGTACTCTGAGAGTGATTTTTAAATGTTTCCCTTTTACTAGCTTTTCTATTAAAACAGTACTGGAACAGACCATTGAATTGTGTTCTGGAATTGTTGAAGGGAATATATCTTTGGGAAATTATATTCAGTAGAAAAAGTCTGAGTATAATATTCTACACAAAATTGTTCAAAATTATGTCATACGCTTGATTGTGCGCTTTCGGAGGAAACGAAGGCATTAATATAGTTGTAGATCTTATAATACTGTTCGAATCGATATTTCTAAGGACGATCGTTTCGTCAATGAATCCTCATTTCATAGTACGTTTACATTATACCGGATAAAGTTAACCTAATGGGTTTTAATTGTCAATTCCATTACATATTTGTCAAATAAATAATAGGTTAACCCTGCAAAAAGTTCTAATGTACATGCCGTTTTAAGGTACATTTGCATACACCGTGTTTTCCGAACATTTTCATCTATGGTTGGCAACATTTGACGTCGAATTTATGTAGACTCTATGCACTTTGACAGTTAATCCGATAGTCAGCTGCGCTAAATGGAGTACCCATTTATTCATGGCACAATAAATAAGTAGTCCAGGGTAGTCTGGGACGAAAACAAATGTTTTTGTTTTGATGCATCATCTTATTATTGCATCATGTTATTTATTGTAAAAAATATATCAACGACTATTAATTTGGTCAAGTTGGCTGTCAAAATCCATTATTGTGAATTGACTTCCATAATGAAAACGTAAACACCGTTCAAATTTTTGATATTAGACTTGAGAAAAAAAGACAGCAGACTTTCGTTTGATGGATCGTATTCACAGATCTTAAATTATATCATTCGAAAAAAGTTTAGGAGATTCCTGCAGGTCCTACGACAGAGCATGAGCATACATATGTAATCTGAGGAATATTTCGCAGTGTTGCAAAGCGAATGCAAAAAATAACATACATATATCCACAATTTGGCGGAAGGTATAAAGATATTTAGACCTATAAACTGTATTATTTTATGTTGGTCCTTCCTAAATATAAAATATAATCTGTAAAATTGTGTAATGGTTTTGTAAGTCTGTGTTCTATTGTCTCTTTGTCACAGTTTTTTTATAGAGAGATACAGAGCCAGTGACAATTATAGTTTGAACTTTTTCTGATGGATAACAACAAAAATTAAGGGCGGAAATCCATATAAACTTGTTTGAAATCGCCCTTACCATGGCAACTTGACTCCACATTATTTTCTAAGGGGTGTAAGAGGAGGCAATGCTCTCTTAAATTCAATAAACCTATAGAAAATTCAAAATACAAGTCAAAGAGAGCAAGTGGGATAAAGAGTAAGAGTCTAAACGCAACCATAGAGTCTAGAGTCAGCGACAGTCGTTTGCCGTGTGTTTCTTGTAGGCAACGGGAAATCGCGACGGCTGACGTTCGCGTCTAGCGGCATGACGCTAGAATAGATTTTATTCATTTTTGCTCAGCGTCGTACTCAAAATTTCTCACTTGCTCTCAATTGAGTTGCCATATTTTAGGTAAAAATCAACAGTGCTGCCAAATTTTAATGATAATTTATATCAAAACATACTGTTAAAAAACAAATATTTTCAAAGATTGTGGATGTTTTTTAATGAATTATTAATAAAATGGAAGAAAAATATTTTTTTCAATAATTTTATCCAAATTCCTTGACATTATTGTTTATTAAATATTAAATTGATTTTGGTTTGCACAACGTAAAATTTTCTGTCAGAAAATGAAAACAAATAATTGACATTTTGTGCCGCTAACGCTAACTCTTTCGTTTGGTTTTCACGCCGGCGAAAAAGTATGACGCTGACTCGTGACTCTCTGGTTGCGTTTAGACTCTAATGTCAACAAAAGGGGGAGGTAGTTCCCTTATGCCATGTTCTGACGGGCATCCGAACAACGTAGTTCGCTCTCAGAATTACGTACATGAATTAACCCGTTCATACAACACTATTCATAATTCATATCATCAGAGTTTTTTATTTCAAACTTTTTGTTTCTTGTTTTACACCAAATATGTAACATATTTTAGTGAATTACATAGGGATCTAAATAGAAAAAATAATTCTCTTTCCCCTGACTATAGTATGAACCCATATCTATTTACTTTTCATTCATGTTTTCCATTTTTTCTGAAAATGTTGTTGTTTTTAATACATTTTTATATTTTCTCAATTCAAATGTCACATACTGTCACAAATAAAATTTTGGAGAATTTTTTGTTTGAGTTGCCCCACATTTGTTTCTTGTTTTGTACGCTAATTAGAACCAAGGGAAAAGAAATGCATATTGCATTATGTAGAAAACAAAATTTACATCCTGCTGCATATATAAAAACTATACAATTTTTTACTTTTCATTCATGATTTTCAATTTTACTGAAAAAATTTGAAAATTTCATAAATATTTTCAAACTGTCAAAATTAATTTATTTTCGATAAATACTCTCAATTGTTAGGGATGGGACAAATTTATTGGTTATTCAGAGAGTGATTCGAATTGAACAACGTACAAAAGTCGGTGTTCGCTCAGACAATTTTGTATGGGGAACTAAGTAATTCCTTCATAATTAAGGGTCGAACAACGAATGAGAGAGCGAACAACGCTCGTCTGGACATGGCATTATATCACTCTCAGAGTTGACATGGTGTGCGTGTGTGTGATAATTTCTATTCAATGTTGTTGTTGCTGTTTATGTTGAAGTTTTTTTCTCTCAATTTGTTATTAAACTTCAACTTTTGTTATCCGATTCTTTTTTCAGTGTAAACATTTTCTTGTGTGACAGCAGAGATAATTGTTCCATGTGCTTTGTCGTTTCATTCACAAGAAAGAAATAAAATTATCACAGAAAGAAAAAGTGCAAAATAAAAAGCAAAAACAAAAAGTCAACGTTCCTTATAAAACGCCACGAAGAAACTGCAAAACGAAATCACAAACGACGAAGAAAAATAAAAAATTACAACAAAAAAAGTGCTGTAGAAATTGTATCCTCTGGGAAACACCGCAAATAGAACACAAGAACAACCAATCCATATTTCATTGAATCCAAGTTAGTGCGCGTGTGTAATGGCGTTTTTGCGTTCCATCTGTGCTCAACGTACCAATTTAGTTTATAGCTTTAGCGTTAGTGGTTCCAGCAGTCTTGGCGCTGGTAAACGTCAATTTGGCTCGAGCAAAGCAGCGGCGGCAGCAGCAGTATCGAATAATTGGTCGAATGATGAATTGAAATATTCGAGTTCCGGTTTGAGTCAACGTCAACGTGTTTTCCCCCAAACATTGTTTGCCTCGATTTATGGCCATCAGCAACGTGGTCTCCACACAAATGCCACCAAATCGCAAACGGTAGCTGCCACCCAGACAATTGGTGATGAGCAGAAATCATCGGTCTATTCCAAATCTCAGTTGCGTCGTACTCCTCCCACACCAAATGTACCCGAGAATCCACAACGGGATCCGTTGGATGTTAGTTTCAACGATCCAGTTGCGGCATTCAAGAGCAAAACAACATGGGAGTTAGTACGAGCCTATTTGGTCTATATGATCTGTTCCAGTGAGAAATTGGTCGAACATAATATGAAGGTAAGTAGTAAGTAAATAAAGTTCAAGCGGTTTGATGATTCTTTGATGATCTTCCTTTCAGTTTAGAGTTTTTTATGTTTTTTAATTTAATGTTGTCGGTCACTTTTTAATTCGATATTTTTTTTAAATAAACCCTTTATGGCAGCATTTGTAGGTGTTTGAAATTGTAGGGTTGATAGAGCCTCTTTAATCACATTTTTATAGTATCAATTGCATATACAGATCATACCAAGGTACATTAAGCAGGTCGTGTAAGAAGCAAATATCGGCAATTTTGGTTGAAAATCCCCCATACTGTCAAATTTTTTATTTACCTTTCTATACGACTAAGTCAAAATTGAAAGCAATTGGACAGCTCTATTAAAATCGGACATTATTATTGGGACCTTGGATCGTACGAAATATTTCAATAGGAGCTTTTTGAAGTGCCGAATGGGAAATCGGTTTTATTTTGGTGAAAACGATGCAATACCAAAATACGAAAACTATTTGCAATGGCTTTATCGAGTCCATGTAATGATGCCTATGGGAAACCATCTTCCAAAAAACTAACCTATCTTAAATAATATACCCCAAATACCCCAATTCTACATCCACATCCTAAACCAATTTCCACCTTCATCATATGAATCATTTAAACAAAATCCCAAACCTGATGTTTTTGTTTGGAATGAATGAATTTCAAATAGCAATTAAGCTAAACAAAATTTCCACTAGATAATGACAGAATACACGATATGTTTATTGCAGTTATTTTTGTGCGGTAAACTGTTTATTTTTTTACCAACAACAACAGCAACAATTAACCTTACGTTGCAGCACCCAGTTTCCCTGCGCCGTTCAACCCTAGAACGGCAACAAATGACAATTGAAAAAAAATGTTTAAATAGCCCTCATTACGACCAGACAATAGACACTTGTAATGCGGTGGTGCGACTACTTGTATGTAGGTATGTACATGCGGTTCTTCACCTACATACAATGTAAGCTGGGCTTAATAGCTTTCGATAAGGTTGCCAGGTTGCGGCAGACATTAGTTCTAATGTGGTAACTCTTTACAAAAGGTGCAATAAATAGGTAATCCATTTAAAGCAGCTACCCGATTAACTGTCAAAGTGCATAGTTTCTAGAGCGGCTATGTTGAATGAGAAAGATTACTAGATACAATTTGGCAGATGGTCGGATAAAAAACATATATCTTTGTTTTGATACACCACCTTATTATTAAGGTGGTGTATCACCTTATCACCAAGGGATTAAGTCTTCTTGGGAGACCAGCTGAATATCAGCTGATTCCCAAGGTTGCCATCAAAATCCATTATTGTGAATTGACTTCCGTTATGAAAACGTAAACAACGTCCATATTTCTGACAATAGACTAATGGTGTTTTTACACGATATGTATTTTACATATGTGCTGTCACTTATTTCATCCATATGTTATTCCTTATGTGTGTCAAAATTAGCAGCGTACACAAAACATTTATTTTTGTGTTCAAATCGGCATATGTATTTTACATATGACATAACCTATAAACAAAAAAACACTTATTTTTTCTTATATCAACATAATTTTTTTTTATTAAACACCTACAAACGAAATAATAGTTTGTAATTGTTGCCTTTTCATCCTTTTCTTTGACTTCCAATTGAAATATTTTCTTCCAACAATGTGTTTCATTTAAACAGCTGATTTCCTTATGTTTCACATACGAAAATAGAGCGCGTCCTATTCGGAAAAAATACATATGTAATTGCATATCGTTTTGACACATTGAAATTTCCGTATGTTTCACATGACGAGTTCGATTTCCATATGTAAAAAAGTGACAGCACATATGTAAAATACATATCGTGTAAAAACACCATAAGTATTTACTTGTGACAGATCATTTGTTCCATAAGCCGAGCTTAAAAAACATTTCCTATTGTATGAGCTCTTCTAATTTGAAAGACCATGTTCGGAAATATTGTCTTCCACTTGATATTTTCATTGAATTCGTGGCTTTCCCCTTCTACGTGAACCACTAGTTGGCTCAATTTTATATTCCTATTGAGCTGGGGCACCATCATCCATTCGTACAACATGATCTAGCCAACGTAGTCGCTACAGCTTGATACGTCTGACTATGTTGATGTCCGAGAATAGGTGATACAACTCATGGTTCATTCTACGGCGATATTTACCGTCAACGCAAATCGACCCATAGATTTTTCGGACAATTTTTCTCTCAAACACTTCAAGAGCTGCCTCATCTTGCTTGCGAAAGTATCCATACTACTGAGTTTAGTTAGTTTTATTTATGAGGGTACCAAGGTATATAAAATCAGCTTGGTCTTCTCGCCATTTACAATACTATGACAGATTCTTTCTCAATTTGTTGAAAGGAGGTTGTTACCACTCGCAATGTTCGACCCATTATGTCGATGTCAGCGACATAATGGGTCTGTCCACATTTGGATAGATCACAAGAGATTAGAAGGGCTCCGAGAGGTATTTTTTTGACTTTAAATGCTGACCTTGTGCCAGTTAAATTTATCCTGCATAGCCGTATTTATGTGGTATCGATGCGGCGATATGCGGCTTTATGATCGACGAATAGTTGGAACGTGTCGATGTGCTTTTCGTGGCTCTTTTCCAGGATTTGGATTTTTTCCATATTATTCTCCTCTAAAATATTCTAATATTTTATAAGTATATTGTCGTTCAAAAAACTTGTTGATTCATTTTTTAATTGGGCTATTAGGAATTTTAAACTAGCATAGCTTCGGTCGACCTAGCACTGGTCAGACATCGAGAATTTTCATCTGTGTTTAATAAAACAATATTCACTGTATAGAAGTTCTTTAAAGAATTTCAAGAAAATACCCCGGGATCCTAAGATTCTAGAAGTTGGATTTAAAAATCCTTTCGACATGGCAACCCTTTGAAAAAACCTCAAAATAAATAATCTTGAACAATGTTGTCGTTACAAAAACACAAATTATTAAATAAAATATGTTAGATAACGAAACATGTGAAAGCAACGAACGAGAAGAGCTAAGCTAAAATGAATAGCTTAAATCAGACTCTTAAAGAAAAAAAGTAGAACAACCTATTCAATATCACGCTTTGCCCTTTATCGTCATTATCATCACATTTGTCGTTTTCATATCATTATTGTTAATTATTGACAGACATTACAGTTGATGAGACTAATACGTACAGTCGAATCCGGATAATTACAATGCGAGAAATGCACCGCTTCGATAGCAGGATGAATGTGCTTCCAAATTGATTACCCATTGCGTGAGAAAGAATATCAAGAAAACAAAATACAACTTCGAAAAAAAAATATTCTCTATTTCCTTTTTTACAAGAATCGAAAAATCGATTTATATAATTTGGACAGCATACACAAATTGGTACTGTACACATTTGCCCTCTTCTCTATAATACTAAAGCAACTCTGTAGGCAGTGGCTTCTTCTGTCAAATATAAAATAATTGAAAGCAAAGCAAGTGATGTTTTTATTTGACTTTTTTTTCAAACACATAACTAAACATACGAAAAATGAATGAAAGTTTATGATTTGTTTCAAAATCTAGCCTGGAACACCATGAAATGTTTGTTTCATCCATTTCATAAAGTAATCCATTTCCAGACGAACGCGGCAAAGAATAATTTTCATTTTAATTGAACTTAAATATTTTTCAATTTAGTTTGAATTTATATCCATGTTGATCGGTCACTACCTCAACATCGAATCAAATTATTGTTAGATATTTATTTGCACTGTCTTATTTCAATTACTAATTGTATGGCAACTCTATGTATTATTGTGTATATTGCAATATGGCTTATTCTTGTGCCTCATTTTTTTTATTAACTCCTCTCCGTCCTGGCTCAATTCTCTGTTTTTGTAATCTCTTTTCTTTTTTCTAAAGCCTATTAATAAGTATGTCCAGGGAGACCAGCTGGATATCAGCAGTTTCTCAAGTTTTCTGTCAATATCCATTATTGTGAATTGACTTCCATTATGAAAACGTAAACAAAGTCCAAATTTTTGACATTATACTTGAAAAAGAGCAGCTGACTTTCAGTAGATGGATGACCTTATTAATTGATCTTGTTTTAGCCTTTCTCGAACTTTCCAAGCGTCCTGTTTGATTCATGCTCTTGTATTTTATATTAAAAGAATCAGTTCAACGTGCTTCCCCCCACTTTGTAATATCTATAAAAGTTTTATCCTTATAAACGTATTGCAATTATATGGAATCGATTGTGCTAGACGAATAAAAAACCGGTAAAAGTTAATAAATCAGTCGCTACGCCAGCAGTGCATCGGAACATTGCTAAAATAAAATAATGAGAACTCGTTTTTCATTTCAACGATCTCACGTGACACAAAGCAGCTATAAAGGAAACCAGTTGCTAGTCGTGCATTTTTGTCATTGTTGTTGCGGTTGTCTTCGTCGTTGTTGTTACGAAGAAGTGAAGAATAGGAGAATTCATTCGAGACAAATGCTTTAGAAGACAGTGGTTTCTTGAGATAAATTTGATTGCATGTGATCGGTTCATTATTTGACATCACGATGACAATACATTGTAAAGAAAAACTTCAACATGAACAATAACCCAATAATAGGTTATTTTGAAATTCAAAGAAAATAAATTAGGTTTGTGACGATGAAAATATGTCGTAAATAATGAAAAACAATATCAATCAAATAATTTTGCATAACCATATCGCACAATGTACCATAAACCGTACCAAATAGTCACAGAAGGAAGTTTTCCCGGGGTTTCGATTCTCAAAAGCAAAAATTTGTCTTGATAAGGTAGCCACCAAGGCTATGTGCCACAGAGGCGATTTCAATATTGCGATCCGACCAGCTACTTCTCTAATTGAGGATCAGAGACGTTAGCATATATTCCAACTTCAAAGTGTTCCAAAAAAAATTATAGTATTCTTTATTAACACTAGATTGCCGATGGCGGTCATTTGACCGTTTTTCAA